AAAGCTGATTTAAACATATTCCAATGTTAGAACCCATTCCCCCTAATTAAGTGCTTGTGATCACAACATTTAGCAAAACGTTTCAATCAGAAAATGACGAGTCTCATTCAAAGGTCATAGTAACTTATATATGTCTCCTCAACCATTTGTAACTTATTCTCTTCTTTACATGCATGTATCATACCTAATTTATACATAAACCTAAAATTGTAAGTATAACATTATAGTTTACTTGCTAACCACAGCAAATGGAAAATGTTCTAAGCAACTAAATAAAAATAATTTAACTGACATTGCAAGCTTACTAAAGAAATAGGCTAAGTTAATAAACGAATCTAGGAGATATAAATGTGGTTGTAAACTACATATTGTCTTAAATGCAATAATTGGACAAACAATACTTACTAGAGTTATAAAACAACCATGCATTGTTATGAATAAACATTCATATACCTCTTTGTAAAATTACATCACTGTTTAAAAACTGCTGTGATTTGCAATGGAAACTAAAATTATTCTAAGGTTTAAGGCTACGTGATTCTTAATGAAAAATATTTTGTAAATCACACAATCACATAACACTACGCTTAAAAATATTAATAATCATTACAGACGTATTTATCATAAAAAGGTTTGAGTTTAATGTTATAAAAAAACAAAAAAATTAACAAAGTTTTGGACGAAACAATTGAAAATTAAGGCAATAGTAAGGTGTGTAAAATATGAAAATATATTTGTTAAATGTCCACAGCAATGAGCCAATAACCGGCAGGCTTTCTGAATTTTGACAATCAGTAATTAGCCTTATCACTTAAAACTAAAAAATTGACCTTACGTAATAATGAGAACTAATTGCCTATGTCAAAATCATTCAAAGAGCCTAAAAAGCTAGACGAGCAAAGAAAGTAACACACAAATTCGTTGTTTTACGCATTTATCATCAATCCATCATTTACATTTCAACCATCCTTTGTCGATTTGGATTATTTAAATTTTAAAGCTTTTTTGTGCTTTTCAACAGACTAAATTGCTTAAATAAGATGTTGCTGGTATTATTTGTGGCTAAATGCAATAAATTGTATGCTTTATGCTTGCTCCAAAACACCGTTTCTTGCTAAAGTTGTGCTAAGAATAACAAATGAAACGGGTCAACCGTCAACCATTGATCGCGAAATCTTGTTACACGTGAATATACATGTTGAATTATTCCTTGCACAAGTTCTGTGTTTATTCAAAAATAAAATCAAAACAGTATGTAATTGCGAGCATTGATCAGCTCACTCTTGAATGTGTTGTATCAAATATGTATTCTTTCTTGGGTGAAAAATTTTAATAGCTAAAGATCGACTTGCCACTTGTAATGAAGTATACAGAAGACACGTGCAAATTATTCTGAGCCCGCAAATTTTCTTAACGCCTACAGCGATTTATGTTTCTTTTATTGCATACTTCTCCAACTGTGTCACATCGCTGGCATTCGCGTCATAACGTTATCAAACTATATATTAAAATTTATTTTTTATTAACGTTGATACAGTGAACGCATATTCATATTAATGTTCAGAAAAAACGACCGACGTTTTTTTTATATTCGACATTAATACAACGTCAAATGCAACACACTTCGAAGTGTGTTGCATTTGACGTTGTATGAAATGAAATGAATAGACGTTAATTGTAACGTTTAACAAACGTTCATATCACGTTAGACATTAACAAAACTGCGACCAAAAAATCACTTTAATTCAACCTAAATCAACCTAACGTTCCTCTTTACGTTTAGACAACGTTCATACAACGTTAGATATTAACGACGCCGGCAACCTAAAAATCACCTTCATCTAACCTTCATCTTAACGTTTAACCAACATTGAAACAACGTCAAACAATAACGACGTGCTAGCGACCAAAAGATCACCATATACTAGCGTTCATCTTAACGTTTAGACAATGCTGTTTCAACTTAACAGCATAACTACCTTACCGAATGTTAATGTTAATGTTCAACCAACGTTGACACAACGTGGTTAAAATTTGACTAAGAAAAACAACGTGGTAAGAACGTCGTATTCAAGTTATGTCATACCGTAACGTAAATACAATCTTAAGCCAACGTTTAGAAAACGTCGTGTCCTAGCTGGGATGTACAGAAATTGTTCAATGGTAAATTCGAACGTTTCAACGTAGGGTACATGGTTGTAAATATGGTTATGTTAAAGAAAGTTTTAAATAGAATCTCTTACATTTTCGTTTATTCTAAATGATATAAATTCAAATTAATTGAGGTGTAAATGTGAGGTATTGTTTACTACAAAGACTAACGAGTGCCGGAGTGCAAAACGTACTTGTACAAACGTCGTAATATTTCATGTTGCAACATGCATGCCAACTTTCCAAACTTATCATAAAGTAACCATTTAATGAATCCAATAATGATTATTAAGCTTTTTTTTTGAAGATACCGTTCTTTTTAAGAAACATCCAAGCTTACGCCAATAAGAGTGTAGTAATTTTAGCTTGAACCGAGAAAATAACAGAATTAATGACTCCAGTTCGAGACTGACGTTATTAACGTTATTAGCAATATTTGAAATTAAACAGATTTTAGCCACACACTATTTAAGCACCAGATAGCATTTGAATACGTACTAACAGAGTTGACCCGGGATCCTTTGTTATCACAGGAACGTTTACGAACGTATTTCCCAAAAAATGAAGAAGAATGATATTTGGTTCTAAATATCCATCATCAATATATTTATTGGAGATGTTTAAACTAAATATTCCTCATGAATTTTAAGTGGGCTTTGTTTCCATATTTTATTTTCGTTACCTGAAGAAATTGCGTCTGCTTGAATCGTTACTTTTTCCGGGCTAAATCATTTTTCATTTAGTGAATGGAAAATGCTCATAGCAAAATGTGTTTACCAAGTGTAAAAGTCCTCTTGTACCACTGTTACAGTGTCAAGACTTGAGACACAATCACCAAACTCGTTTTTTGACCTTCTCAACATTTACTAATTTGTCAATAAATTAATCATATCTTTCTTTGTAAAGCAGATACATACACAGGTTCAATGAACAAACTCAACAATAGAATTCACTATTGAAATAATTTTTATTATTTTCTTCATCCCCTTGTTGACCATGAACAATATCGGGACCATCATTATTTGTCAACGTTTAAATCAGTGAAGTCGAACTTTGTCAATGTAGCTAGCGTAAATATTTATTTTGCTATATAAAAGTTTTACTTTGTGGATATTTTTTTGCAACTCAGAAATGTCTTGAAGAACAGCTTCAAAATATCATTCAACTCCAAAATATTGTATATCTTTTATACTTCCATGCCTCTCAAATGCAAATGGAAATGTTAACAAACAGTAAAATACTACCAAATATATAAAACATAAAATGTAAATTAGTAAAGATTTTTCTGACTATAAAGAGTACTATATTCTTCCGAAATCATTATTACCGATTCGTTGATATTAGTATTAACAAATAAAGCCGTAGCTAGAGCTATATGCTTCACAAAACTCGGTGGTTTTTCAAGTAAAAAACCTCGGTCTTTTTTATAACTAAATTAAAATTTTGACGAAGCAACAACGAGAACAAACTTCCTCGAAACAATGCAGTACACGGTCAGACTTCGAACTCGTACTTGAATTAAGTCGAACTGTATATTGGTAAACACTTACTAAAGCTCACTATTGACGCTAGAACATCACATTAAACACTACTTAAAAATGTATTATTAACACATAGAACATGCTGAGCTAACTCCGTCAAAATAGCAGAGTAGGAATAAACAATGTTGGAACAGATTATTATTTTCCTTTCCACCAGTACAAGATTCAAAGAACAAATAGGAATGATGGCGAATAATGTTTACCAAAGTAGATTTTCGAATATTTTACTTTCGTGACTTTTTAATAGTAATAAAATATACGTCATGGGTAAAACAAGTTATTCAACACAATATGACAATAAAATGCTTCTTATGGCAATCAAATATTAGTGTTTGTGTCCTATTAAAAACTGTCCGTGCAAGAATCTAATTTGTCGCATCGTCGCACTTATTATCGGGCTTCACTTTTGTGATACCTAAGGAAGCTATATAATCAGTCTCTTATCAGCTCAGAGGGTTACCAGTTATTTTATTTTATAATTCTTTCAGAATTGTCAAGACTGGCAATAGACGGTAAACATTAAAAATTAAAATAACATGAATAAAAACGAAGTAAACCTATATATTGTGTATTTGTTTATAATGAAAAGTGCATGAACTTTGATAATTTTTTTCTAGCGGTGGTAATGTCAGAAAGATAATGAGTTTCATTTTCAAATATTTAAAGTTCAAAAAAGAATCACAAAAGCAAAATGAAGCTAAGATATCAAACGAACATGGCATGGAGTATTACAAAATTGGACAATACCAAAAAGCTTTGAAATGTTTTGAGAAATGTCTCGAAATTCAAAAAACTTTACTAGGTCCTGAGCATGTTGATGTAGCTACAACGTTTAACAATCTTGGCGTTGTTCATTCCGATACCAACAACTATGCCAAAGCCAAAGAGTGTTATGGAAAAGCGTTGGAAATTGAACAAAATTCACTTGGTCCGAAACATGTTGAAGTAGCTGCGACTTTAAACAATCTTGGTAATGTGCACCGTCGTAATAAAGAATATGACAAAGCACGAGATATTTACGAAAAAGCTTTGGAAATTCGACAAAAATCACTAGGTCCTGAACATGCTGACGTGGCTACTACTTTAAACCTTCTTGGTATTGTTTATCATGATATTAATAAATATGCCAAAGCCAAAGAGTGTTATGAAAAAGCGTTGGAAATTCGACAAAAATCACTAGGTCCTGAACATGTTGACGTGGCTACTACTTTGAATAATCTTGGTACTGTTCATTATGATACCAATAATAATACCAAAGCCAAAGAGTGTTATGAAAAAGCGTTGGAAATTCGACAAAAATCACTAGGTCCTGAACATGTTGATGTAGCTTGGACTTTACACAATCTTGGTAATTTGTACCTTCGTACTAAAGAATTTGACAAAGCAAGAGAATTTCACGAAAAAGCGCAGGCAACTCGAAAAAAATCAGTTGCTTCGGATCATATTGTTGTTACTGAATCTTCGAACAGTATTGGTATGTTATTGATTATTTTTATATAATAAAGCATATATAAGCGTTATAAAGTGTAACTTTCTAGGTTTTTGAAATTTCAGACAAAATTCTTAACTATTTTGTGTTTACAAATCATGAATTTTTTTAGATAGATCTGAACAGAAGAAAACGATTTTAGGGATATTTACAAAAGTATTTAAAGCTGTTTCTGGTGAAATTGGGATTCATTTGGAGTAATAATCATATTTTAGGCCGTTTAACCACCCCGAGTATTTATCCAGTTTAGTTATCTTATATATAGCCCATTTGTAGAGCTTTCTTAAAATCGATAAAAAATATTTGTTTCTTAGAAAATTGAGAACAATGTAATGCACTTCAATATATATTCTTAGGAGCAAAACTATTTAAAGTCTTCTTTAACATATAAATAAAACTAAGCTAATTAAACTACTATGAAACAACGACATATGTAGCTAAAATTTTTTTGGTAAACTTTTCCTTGTTTTCTTTCCATGATGCATTTAACGTAAACGACAACTTTATTTATATTTTTTCATGCAAACATATTTTGGCAAATTTCTGCCATCTACATTTCAGTATAATGAAAGAATATTTGAATGGAGTTAATATATATAGAAATCTTATAGAAGGCATGTGTATAAACTAAAGGGATGGAAGCGGAAGCTATTTACAATTATGTAGTGATTGGAGGTGTTAAGTATAGGTACAAGTTAAATATAGTAGTGACATGCTGAGTTAATTTGTTAAGATTAGGCTTGAGCTTTTTGATGTACAGTGCTTCTTATAGCTTTAAAGAAGAAGTGTGGGCACTGTCTAATATACGAAAGCAGGATTGTGAGTATTTAGATTTGCAGTGAGGTGATGAGAGAAGGTGTTTGAATATGTGAGAGTTTTCATCGGAAGTGGTATGCTCTTTAATCCGTGTGGATATGTGGTAGCTGGTTTCGCCAATGTAGCGAGAATTACATACCGCCCAAGAAAATTCGTAAACCACATTGTATTTTAAGAGGAAAGGGACGGGGTGAAACTAGAATACTAGTTTTATGTCTAAGTTTGTGCAGTAACGTCTGACCAGGTTATGTAATTTTTGTTTTGTGATTTGTGAGTAGTGGCCAATGTAAGGTAGTTTGAAGTAATGGATTTGGGCATAGGCTTGTGTGTGGTCTTGTTCATTGTTAGTTGTGTTCGAGTTAGTGTCGTTGTTATATGTTTTTATAACTTGGTTTATGAAATGCAAGAGGTATGAGTTACATTTTAGAATGACGATTAGTTCGTTTAGGTCGCATAGATATATCGTCAAAAAACTCATTCCTTTCCTCTTAAAATCCAATGTGGTTTACGAATTCTCTTATGCGGTATGTAATTCTCGCTACATTGGCGAAATCAGCCGCCACCTCACCACACGTATTAAAGAGCATACCACTTCCTATAAAAATTCTTACATCTTCAAACACCTCCTCTCATCACCTCACTGCAAATCTAAGTACTCACAATCCTGCTTTCGTATATTAGACAGTGCTCACACTCCTTCTTCTTTAAAAATAAAAGAAGCACTGTACATCAAAAACTGAAGCCTAATCTTTACAAATTAATTAAGCATGTCAATATTATCTTTAACTTGTACCTCTACTTAACACCTCTAATGACGCAGACAAGAAGGCTTGTGAACAGAAATATAGACGACTATAAGACTGTCAAAGTCATAACTTTACACAGTAGATAAAGATCACAAGGCTGACTTAGCATTTTTATCAAAAAACCGAAGTAGAAAAATAAACTTGGAACATGGTATTGATGATTTTTGGTTCAGTCAAGCAAAGAAAAAGTGCCATTTTTTATTTGTTCGGTGAAATAATAGTCTGATAATAGTGACATAATACTGCCCCGTTGGCTTGCGCCAACTTTTTTAGTTTTTATCACAAATGACATGTATACCCGTGCATCTATAACTGTGTAGACAACGCTTAAATGTTATCTATTTGTTAAATATAAACTACCTATGCTGTAAATTTCAGCTGGTTTCTCAGTGGACGCATACCAATGTTATTTCAAGACGACTTTGCGATACGGCCTATGGTCTAGAAGCAATAAAGTAAAAAGCATACACATTCAACAGTATTTTACGCAAATGTTAGCCTAAGATGCACGGGACTTAATATAAGTCTTGTTTCATTTTTAAACTCAAACTTTTCATCAGCTATGTCACATCTATAGATAGAAACATAATACTTTGAAGTTTGTATTGCTTTTTATAAAAAGCGTATTGTAATAGGCATTTTATCACAAAATTTAATATTTTCTTTAAAACAATTAGTGAAGATCAACAGAAAGTTTTGTTTGAAATACGCATACTGACCTGGTGAGTTTTAGCTTGTTTCTATAGTGATGAGTATGTTTTTCCTGGTTTTTGCAACAGTTAAAAATTAAGCTTATGATTGTTATGACTCATTTGTCACCATGTAAATGACAGGCAGACGGCAGCATAACTGGTCTATGTTTGTGTTGTTTAAGTTCGAGTTCTGGCGTCAGGGTTACTAAATTCTGGCATATCAATAGTTTTCTGACATCCTATACTACTTTACGCTTTGGAAAAGCTGGTTTTATTTCAAATATAACTTTTGCCAATTCTCACACCAGTCTGTTTTTTTTCGAAAGATCTCACATGTTGCAATTATTACAGTTAATGATGATTTGGCCGTATTATTTGCACTGAGGCCGAGACCTTTAAATAGATGGGCAAGGAAGTTGAAGGCCTGCTCTGTCATTGCATTGAAAAATTTAATTTGTCTTTCTACAAAGATTTTTCTAAGATTCAAAAATGACGTCCTTTTCTGTCGTTGAGATTTAATGTTCTATCATTGCCCTGATAATAGACTTACTAGCTGTCTTAAATTTTATGGGCTGTGTTTCTTTAATTTTTACATACCGCACTCAGTACAGTGAGTGAGACATTGTAGTGATTACTGCATTTGGGCTTCTATGCAAAATCAGGTAACAGGTTTTCTTAACGTTCTGTAGCCACAACGGAACTGAGTTTTATAATCATGACTATGCAGTGTTATGTAAGCATATAAATGGCAATCACTCTACAGTAGAATAAACATTATATGATGACTGGGAGGCTTGGTGTAATTTCCCTGATATTCCTGCAATCTACCGTTTGCTGACCTTATTTAATGCTATTACATTTCTACAATACTTTGCAAGAGCAATGGTTTATCATAAGTTAGGGAGATTGTCATGCATGATGAGTTTTTGATAGGATCAAATCTAAATACAGGTTGCTGATAAATGAGATTGCTGCACGTTAAAACCTGCTTAGTCAAATGGTTCTAAGAAATGGAAAAATAAAATGGCAAATATTTGGAATTGGGCTTATAACTTATTTCAAAACATTTTATTGCTTAAACGACTGTAGCATTATAACACACCAAGTCAAATGTAGTAAATATGTGAAAAGTATATGTTTCCCTGTAACACTTGTGCTTTCTTGCTAACACTCGGCATTCTTGTTTTCTTATATCATGCTAATGATTTTATAAAATACAACATCATTATTTGCATTACATTTACACACCAGCAATTGTAGTAAGTAGACTTTATGCTCATTGGTATGCTTAACACTGCGAGAGCATGTATAGCTCAGTGTAGTATGATTAGAATAGGTTAGTTGTGGTGTAAAATTGACAATACGGAGAATAAAAAGATTCTACAGAGGACTGATCCGAGTAATAGCTGATGCTTGAAAAACCTAGGGAATTTATCTCGCTGCAAAGTCCATAATTACACATTCTTTATGCAAAAATGAATTATTGTTTACATCATCAATGTTGTAGCGAAGGACTTCAGGAACTTGGGAATCTTATCCTTCAAAGGAAAGAAGGAGGAAATGTGTGAGAAGGACGGAAAAAAACTTAATGTTAACGGGAGTTAAGGCAGCGTTGCAGAGGCGAATAATTTTGGTGCGTATTTGAAAAAAGTTTGAGCTAGTGTAGGGAAGGCAGAAATTGACGAGCTTCTTGGGCACGGTCATATTACATGGCTTAGGAAAAACGTTGTCAAGGAAGAGTCGAACAGTGTTGTCATGATTAGAACTACATAACCTACTCACATTAGCTGTAAAAAACTGTCATGTCATCTTTGACGGTCAAGTCTAGCAACAAGTTGACGGTGTTGAAGTGGTTAGCCCGTTAGGAACACCTTTTGCTAACATCTTTATGTTACAACATGAACAAAAATGGTTAAATAATTGCCCTTTATTATTCAAACCCTTCTTATACAGACATTACGTTGATGACTGCTTTCTCCTTTTTCATTTCCCTAATCACATACCTCTGTTTCGCAACTTTCTAAACTAACAACATCCGAACATACTTTCACTTCTGAAACCGAACAAAATCACAATCTCCCCTTTTTAGACATTATATCACACTTTCTGACGGAAAATTTGTAACATCCGTTTACCGGAAACCCACATTCACTGGATTCTTCACGCATTTCCATAGCTTCATACCCCTTATTTATAAACGCTGCTTTATCTCTACCATTATTAACCGTACTTTCTGCATCTTCTCAAGCTAGGAAAACTTCCACAATCAACTATAGATGGTTCGAAAACTCTTTGATTCAAATAGTTTCCCCTCTCAATTTTTTGACAACACAGTTCGCCTATTCCTCGACAACGTCTTTTCCCCCAAACCACTTATTATCACAGTGCCCAAGAAGCTCATTTATAACTGCCTTCCCTACACAGGCTCACACTTTCTCCAAATACGCACCAAATTTAACCGCCTCTGCAACGCTGTCTTCCCTCACGTTAATATTAGAATTGTTTTCCGTCCTCCTTTACACATTTCCTCCTTTCTTTTTAAGGATAAGATTCCTAAGTTCTTGTAATCTGGTATTGTTTATCTGTTTAAGTGTCGACGCTGCAACGTATCGTATGTTGGTCAAAGCACACGTTATCTTTAAACCAGAATCACAGAATAGATACATAACAGAAACACCACTCGATGTCCTTTGATGTTCGTTTCCCCTGTTTTGAGTTCTACAATCCGGGTATTTTAAACGGCGGCCATGTTTCCAGCCAGTTAAGTGCAGCCAGATCGTAATATAATATATAGTTCTACGGATGGGTTTTGGAAAATAAACCCAAATACTTTTAATATTTTTTCTGTGGATACACATATATCATATTCATTACATCTCACTGTAGTCTAAAGCCCACCGCACACTGGAGAGCTTGCGTTTGATATTTGACTCATCTGTCACTAATGACAAATGTTGTTCAAAACTTCAGCGCACACTAAGAAATTTTGTCGATCACACTTGTCACGAATAACAAGTACGCGCGGCGAGTTCGCCAGTATGCGGCGGGCTTAACACTCATAACTACACTTCCAACATGCAAATATAAACGCACACTTGATCATTTTAATTACCTGTCTTATGATGTCTTGTGTAAGGACGAAATGCTACAAACACTAAATAATTTCTTTAAAAAAATGGCTTTATTTCGAATTTTATGCTGGGCAATCAGCAGTGTTGGCTGATAATATATATCTACGTACCGTATGTAGTTTAAATCGTTCCAAAAGTGCAAATCAATTTCATTGTAGCAAAACGCACTTTGATAAAAATTTCACTGTAGATCATATAAATTTGGTGCTAGCATTTTGACACATTACTACTGAAAGCAGTATTATATTGTTATCCATAGTTGTACTGAAATCAACATGACATACCTTTGATGTATTTTAACAAGTCTCATGCTATGTATATCTATATAATTGATGTAAGATGTCCAACATTTTCTTCCAAAGTAAAAAGTGCTATTAACTTGCTTTTAAATGTACCTTTTTTTGCAGAAATTAACGAAATTCTGCTAGAGATTTCCCAAGAAATTCCCGGTAAATGGAAAAAATTGGCAATATTTCTGAAGGTCAGAGATGCGACAATAGAAAGAATTGATCTAAATCATCGTGACGTGAGCTGGCAAGGGTTTGAAATGCTAAAGTTTTGGTTTGAATCACGAGAAAATAAGCAGTTGTGGTACGAAGAACTTGCCGCTGCTTTACGCAAGATCGAGAAAAATCGTTTGGCTGAAGACGTTCTTCATAAAGGTGCAAATGTTGCTAAAAGTTGTTAAACTGAAATTCAAAGGTCATTTGCCCATTTTTTATAATCGCCATTTTTATGTAAAACTCAGAAGCTAACATTGGATTGGTTTTATTGATTTACGCTTTTATAATATACATGAAAAAATTTCTCAGTTCTCATTGGTTAATTAAGAGCAGTGCAATTTATTGTAAATACCAGTGGAAAAAATTAAGAAACACGGTGCCGAAAAAAGGAAATACAGTGCATTTTCTTTTAAATAAATTTGCTCCTGACTGGTTAATCAAACAAAGAATTGATCTAAGAGCCAAACAATCTAAAACATTTCCAAGGCATGAAAGTTAAACTAAAGTAAACGAAGCAAATGCAATGGTTGGCGCAAGCTTAAGTATATTTTTTTTGGTGAATGACCTTACAATTCGCACTGAACCAAAAATGAACACTGCCAAAAGTAGTTACCTTGTTCTAACTGCGTGTGTGAAAGCTATGGTGTTATGAAAAGTAATATTCAATAGAATTGTTATATACGAGCCAGCCGGAATTGAGAAATTTTTTCATGTATATTAAGTCCTTAATAACTGACCTCGAGGTCTTTACGGACGGACAGAGTTCTTTTTGCACCAACCAAGCCGTGGTAAAGTAAAGATCGAGAAAGCGAGGTTATTAAAATATTTATTATGTACGGCATTATTTGACCTGAAACAAAGCTTGCTTTCTTTCTTGTCCTGGCTGTTTTGTTACGGTTGACTTTCATCTTTCTATTTTTTGTCAGTAAAAATAAATCATTTTTAGTTTTGTATCGTCTGCATAATTAAACTATTTTCCGAGAGTTTTTCTTTTTACTTACATTCGTAATTAGTTTTTGTTTCGTTTCTTTTCGTTTTGCTTTTTTTTCAAGAACTTTGTTTACATTTTACATTTGACTATAAAATTACGCATTTTGGACTGTGTAACATTCTTTATTTTTCTTGATACGTCTCTGACTCTGCCAGTCAGACTACTACTTATGTACACGACTATGGTTTTCTTATATAGATAAGAAATAGCATAAATATATATTAATCATGTTTTATATCAATATATTACAAAACTCTTTTTTAAAACTAGTATCCTTGTATTTATCTGTCTGATATTTCTATTAATTTCTTTCTAGTTTAAATAAACTATTAACTAACTATTCCCTATGTAATGTAACAAATGTTCCGATTTTATAAATGTTTATATTAAAGGTTAAACATAGTCTTTTCATTTTATTGTCTTACTTACGATACATCCTGATCTTGTCTTCATTGGTGATAAAGTCGTTCAAGCAGAACATATCGATTGCTCGTCTTTTACTCTTGTTTCTTTAAGTTGGGTTTGTTCTTTGGTGTCTGCTTCATTTTTCTTTATATAAAAACGAAAGGGAGGCTGCAAAGTTTGATCGTTAGTTTTCCTCAGGTGTCTTCTATTACGTCGATATTCTGCACCCTCAGATGTTTTCACATTATAACTCCTTGGGGTGTCCGCTTTCATTATGACAACGGCTGGTTTTCATTTCCCTTCTGTTTCAACATAAATATTTTCACCTTCACTCAAGTTTTCGAGGGATTTCAACGATCTGTCGTATTATTTTTTTGCCGTTTTTGCTTCTTTTCCAATTTCATTTGAATGATCTCAGGATTGACAGTTTTTGGAATAAGTTGTTTTTGTCGAGGATGGCATATTTGATCGAAGTATTCTTCCCATGCTTAATTGTGCTGGTGATCCAATGTTATTAATTGGTGTATTTCTTTGCTCTAATATGGCTAAATTTAAATCTCGATTATCTCTTCAGCTTTCGTTCAACTGGACTTTGCCATTTTTTAACATTTTCTCCGCTACACCATTTGGTTGTGGATACCCTGGGCTGGGCGTTATGTGTTCGAACCCCCACGTTTTGGAAAATTCAGCAAACTCTCTTGAAGAGTATTGTAAACCATTGTCGGATTTAACGTTTTCTGGAATTCCATGTCGTGCGAAGAGTGTTTTCATTTTATTTATTATTGCAGGAATCTATGTGTTGGTAGTTTTAAATATCTCACAGAATCTACTGTAATAGTCAACAAACAGAATGTAATCATCATTATTCCAATAGAACATGTCTTTTGCCACAATCTGCCATGAGTATTTAGGTATTGTATGTGGTAACATATAATATTTGTTGCTGCATCTATATTCAGCACAAATTGAGCAATTTTCAACAACTGTCTAAATATCTTTATTTATACCTGGCCAGTATACCAGCTCACGAGCACGCTGTGTACTTCTTTCAATGCCCATGTGGCTTTGATGAATTGTATTTAAAATACTTCCTGGCACTGAGGGTAGAATGAAGATCTTTTCTCCTTTGAACACCACACCTTAAATTACTGTCAGTTCTTCTCTGTAGCTCCATAATGGTTTTATGAAGCTTGAAAGATTTTTCTTTTCATTTGGCCAACCTTCCGTAATCCCTCTCACTAGCTCTTTTATGATATCGTCCTTCCTAGTTTCTTCTGTGATATCATTTAAAGTGTCGTCAGACAATGGTAGCATTGAGACCATAGCGATAACCCAAATTAAGTGTTTCTTCCTCTGATTTTTCATTTGACAATGGGCTCTGGACAACGTATCAGCTATGTATAATTCAGTTCCCGGTTTATATTTTACCTCAATATCAAACCGCTGTAAATTCAGGAGCATTCTTTGCAAGCGAAGTGATGATTTAAACAACAATTTCTTGCTGATTGTTTCCAGTGGCTGATGATCCGATTCTACTATGACATGCTTGTTATAAATGCACTGATAGAAGCGAGTACACTCAAACACGACCGCTTGCAATTCTTTTTCTATCTGTGCATATCTTGTTTTTGCTTGTGTCAAAGATCTTGAAGCGTATGCTACTGGTCTATTTGATTGAATAAGTACTGCTCCTAGTCCCGATTTCGAGGTGTTTATTTGAAGATAAACTGATTTCATTTAAATACAATATGCTAAGATGTCAGGCTGTGGACTTGAGAGTAAGGTCTTTGTCTCTTCAAAATATGAAAATGTCTTTCGGTTCAGTGCCACGCTGTGTCTTTTTTAAAGTAATTGTCGTAAAGGTCAAGTGATTTCCGATAAATTTGGTACGATTATACAACATAATTGACCATACCAAGAAGCCTTTGAATTCGCTTCTTGTCTTCGGGCTGTGCCATGTTCACCATTGCTTATAGTTTCTGTGGATCTGGTTTGACACCTTTTTGTGTGAGGTGATGTCCAATATACACCACACTCTTTTTTCTAAAGTGACATTTTTTTAGCTTAAACTTTAGATTGCACTCTCTAGCTCGACCCTGCGTTGCCTTGAGACGCCCATCGTGTTCTTGAAGTGCTCTACCCCAAACAAGAATGTCAGTGATGTCTGTTTCGACTCTAGCTATATCTTTTTCATGTACTCTTTTGCAAAACACTTCTTGAGCACTTCGGATTCCTAACGGCATTCGGGTAAATCTAAAACTCCCACATGGTGTATTGAAAGTCGTGAGCTTGGAGCTTTCTTTGTCCAAAGGTATTTGCCAACAGCCCGATCTTGCATCTAACGTCGAGAAAAAACATGCACCTGGCATTCGAGCAATGATTTCTTCTATTGTCGGAAGCTGATAATATTCTCTTTCCAAAGATTTATTGAGGTTTTTAGGATCAATACAGATGCGTAAACTTCCACTTTTTTTTTTGATACTAACCATTGAATTGACCCAATCCAACGGCTTATAGACTTTTACAAAAATTCCTTGCTTCACCATATCTTCGAAGGTTTTTGCTAGATGCTCTTGCAGAGGATGTGGAACTTTTCGTGGCGGATGTATGACCGGCTGTACATTAGGGTCCACTTCCATGTAATATAGTTTTGAGAGACAACCAAGACCTATAAATACATCTTCATATTTGGTTCGAAAACTTTTAAAACATTTTTGTTGTGTTGAAGCAGGTCATTGAAAAAACTTTAGAAATAATGAAAAACAGCGAGACAAGAGGAAGGCGTGGTTGCCTCAAATGTCAAATTTAGGCATACGCCAACATCGACAAATAAAGTGAATCTAAACTCATATGCATCCTATTATAGACACTGACGTTTTGATTACTCTCCCATGCTAAATTTAAATGCAGTTTAAAATATCTTGGCCACAAAAACGACAAAGCTAAAAAGCATTTGAAACACATAGGGGGTAAAATATCGTGCATGTTGTTTATACAAATGAAGCCTTTGTCAATCTTTTTGTCAATCTGAATGCAAACACATACGCTCAGCTTTTAAATCGTGGGCTATTTAATTTTTTTTTAATATTTAATTTTTTATAATCTTCACGTATTAAAGATACATTTGAGTTTATATTAATCTTAACACCAATAATTGACGATAGTTCCTTGTGAATAAGCGCAAAGTTTGTCACTAATTATAGAATTCTATCAAATAGATTTCCTCTTAACGAATTTGTTGAATTTAAAGGAGAGAATTTAAACTATAAGTTCTATAGATGGCTGTATATATTACATTGTGTAAACTTGATATTTGATTTAAATAAATTATTTCGTGGTAGGTGAGTGCGTTTATAACTTAACGTAAATGATTTCTTCCGTACGAAGGAACTCATTGTTTTGTATATTCCGTTTTTCCTTTTCTTTCGGACAGAAGTGTAACATATTTCCTGTAATAAATGAGAAATGTCGTCGATGCTTTGGGATTAATACTATTATTCGGTAATAAAAATTCTTGAAGAAGTCATATGTCCATATTCTAAAAGCTAACTCACACTCACACTGACTAAGTGCAAAAAAAATTACACTCTATCTAATATTCAGCAAAGACATTTCTCCACCTATGGAAAATATTTAAAATCAAGCAATCAGTTGAGTGAAATTTCTGTCATCGAATAATTATGAAGTGATTTTGAATACCCATTCATTAAGTGTGTGGGGGCTTTTAGAATACGGGCAATATAAAAGAAATACATAGAAGGGTAACTAGCGGGTGTAATGCTTGGTATATTTTTTATGCAATTGTTAAATCCGCCATTTTTCTAGCAAGTAACTTGATCTCGGGGTACTATGAAATTATATGGAAAAAAATTGTTATTTTGGAATGTCAGTCACCTCATACGCAGAAGGTTTTGGAGCATGCGGAATGTTGTGAGAAAACAAGACAGATATATAAGATAGATATATATATACATATAGTGAGAGCTCACAATAATTTAATTCCTAACAAGTTGTTAGCAATGAAATTATGAGCTTAACAAGTACTTGTGATGTTTACAGTAATGAAAAATGTATACCGACCTCAAAGCTCTTATTCTAAAAAGCCTTTGCCACGGTAGATGCAAAATAACCATATGAAAAACCTTGTTAATCAACAACATCTTGTTCATTAATATCTTTCGTAAGCAAAGCCGTTATATTTAACTGTGTTTCGTAAAGTTAGTGATGCTAACTAGCTAACAATAACTAACTTTTAACTACACCTAGCACTGACTACTTTTTTATAAAACTGACTTAACTCAGGCTAACTGCATGAACGTACTGTAATTAATTTAACCCTTCAATATATAAAGGTTTCTCTTACGATAATTGTATTATGAAATTTCTGAGGCAATAGCAGGTGACGGCTGAACGCAAAGAGACTGCTTAATACAGTACCTGTATCATTTTGTCAACTGTACATATACCATGTTGTAATAGCAAAATATTTAAAATAGCTGAACATTTGTTTATATTTTCAGTATAAATAAATTAGGAATAAATTGGGTATATGCAGAGCAATAAAGAGTATTTTGAAGTTCACTTCTTATGTTATCAAATTATAAAGTATGAAACACACTATTTAAACTGAAATAAGGGCAGGATTATCCTCATGTACGCATTCGTATCTATTTTTTCTTAAAAGTCCTTACGCAATTATATCTTTCAAAAACTGCGGCGCGAACTGAATGACTTAGAAAATATCATAAATTTCCTCATAGACATTATCCAAAATGCAGACTGCAAAACAGGCTTGATTTTTATAACCAGCTAAGGTTTGAAAATATTTATTCAAAGAGTAGGTTCACAATCAAAATTTGGGACTATGGCATCGAAGAAAAAAAAACTTACCTCTGATGCAACTATAAAGTCTTATTACATAAAAATTGTAGTTTTACAACAATGTTGTCAATACGTAAAATTTTACTCGTATTTATAGATATAGGTAAATATTGTGCTGATTCACGTCGACTACCACAATCTGTGTCTTAACAGATAGGCAAACTATTATTTCGAAAAATGTTGTTTTTGAGAGCTCTAAACTATACAACAAGATACTAAAATGTTGTTCCAAAATATACCCAACTTTAAGATGATTTAATCTATCTCTTTCCAGTGATAATGACATATCCGTCTCCTTTGTCATTAAAGGCTGACTTGTTCACTTGATTTTTTCTTGCATTATAAGATCCACCTCCACCAGCACAAGATCCGGACACATTTTCTCCCGATGCCCCACCTGAGTAACCACCTTCTCCACCTGCTCCTCCACCATCACCATATGCTCCACCACCACCTCCAAATCCACCAACGGCATTGTTTTACCAGGCACGTCCTACTGCTCCACCAATTATAAAAGCAAAACCTCATTCTCTTCCATTTCCATACTTACCATCAAACTGTTTACCACTTCTTCCATTGCTGTAAAATCCACCTTCTCCTCAACCTAATTAACATCAAGAAAATTATTTATAAATTTTATATTATTTTATATTTAATTTTATACTTCTGATTTGATTGCAAACAAAAAATGCATCACAGGGCTAGTATGATTTATATGGGAAAGGTTTGTTATCGATAATAATAAATCTTAGTGTAAAGTAAATGTTTTGAACCCGGGAGTATCATTAAATGTTTGTAAATGCATATCGTCTAGGTTGGTATAGTCCTGAGAAGGACTGTTTTTGTTGTTGTTCACTGACGTTTCGATAACCTTAGCGGTAGTCATCTTCAGAGTCAAATGAGGAGTAAATGTGAGGTTAGCCGTATTTGTTATCTGGTACTTACGTCATTGTATTGTGTGTACAAGAAATGTGTGGGTGTCAATTGTGTATTGTCATTGTGAATTAGTGCGAAGTGAAATGTTTTTAGTTGTGATGTGTGATTTAGATGTGATGTTTTTAGTTGTAATGTTTGGGTGTCAATTGTGTATTGCATTTTGAATCAGTGTGAAGTGTAATGTTTTTAGTTGATCGTTTATTCCGGTAATTGCTGTAATCTGTTCAGGGGGGTTTGTTCCAAGTTGGTATACCAATATTCTAATGTAAGCCGTTGTCTATAGTCAGTACTGTAAGTAATGCATTTTGCCGAGTCCCAGTCAATGTTGTGCTTTGTGATTCGGTGATGTTCGGCAATGTTATTAGTACTTGTTGTAACGTTGTGATTGGTTTATGTGCGACACGTATGTGTTTATGGTCGTAAGATACGCGAAATAGTCTCAGACGTACCTTTGATGTAAGGTATTGTTGCTGTTGTCACTGAGTTGTTCGTTTCGTTGGGTTCGTTGGATTTGTAAGTGTTTCGTTTGATAAAGTCAGAGTTATAGTTTTTGACAAAAACAACTGTAAGGTATCGTGGCTGTTGTCACTGAGTTGGTCGTTTCGTTGGGTTCGTTGGGTTTGTAAGGGTTGCGTTTGATAGAGTCAACGATACCTTACATCAAAGGTACGTCTGAGACTATCTCGCGTATCTTACGACCATACAACATACATGTCGCACATAAACCAATCAAAACGTTACGACAAGTACTAACGAACATAAAGGACAAAGAACAACCCAACGAACGACAAGGTGCAGTTTACCAAATAAACTGCTCCGACTGCCACGCCTCCTAATCGGGGAAACTGGCAGGAACTTAAACATAAGACTTACTGAACACAAACGAGCTTACAAACGACTTATTCACAATTCCAACAAACGAACTAAAACCATAACACTTCACACTAATTCACAATGAAAATACACAATTGACACCCAAACATTACAACTAAAAAGATCACACATAAATGACACATCACAACTAAAAACATTTCACTTCGCACCATGGCCTACTCAAATTTACACGGCTGATATCTTGCCATAGCAAGGAGAAAAATGCAAGGCCATTGAATTTTCAATGAGTCATCAAGTTTTCTCCTCAAATCTAAAAATAGAGCATGACAGGCAAGAAGTTTTTCATGAATCGTTTCCTGTTTTCTTCTGAAATGATTGTTATTGAGGAAGTTGTTTATTTGAAAAAGTAAAAATTTCTCTTGGTTAGTTGAGTGTTTGTGATAAGATCTTGATTGAGTTGTTCGTCAGTTGCAGTGCAGAATGCCAAACAAATGTAGCGTTGCTGGGTGTTACACCAAATACAAAGGACATGCTAGTGGGACTGTATTCGAGTTTACCAAAGACGAGGAGCTGCAACCGATATGGCGCTTGTTCTTGAACAGAGTAGCTCATGACACCGCTGAACTAAAATCCGTGTTTATATGCGAACATCACTTCGAGGACAAGTATATCCAGAAAATACCAAGTATCCTCGCCTCATCAAGTCAATGAAGCCAATTCCGACCATCCATCCCGAGAGCTTGAAAGATCGTCCCTCACTGCAATCTTCAATCCCAAAGCTTCGAAAACCTCCGACTCAACGCGTTTTTCAGGAAGATGAGTTTGAGAAGTTCAAGCACCTTGACATAATCAAAGATTTTGGTGACATTAACGACTCACTGCTTCACAAACTTGGTCACCAGTTTTCGTTTTCTCGCCGTGATGATCATGCCATTTTTTCCAAAATGGAAAAGAATGAACAATCTGTACCTGAAGTTACAGTTTGCATCCGAGTGGATGTTGATCTGCGCGTACGCCTTTACCACCGAGGTGCCCCACTTCCTTTACCCGAGTGGTTTCGTAGAGGTCAGTGTAAATTGACGAGTAAAAGTATGCTCCACAATTTCCCTGCCTATGTTGAACAAAAGAGCTTATCCTGTAGTGGTGTTTTGGAAGAGTTTTTAGGAAGTTGAAATATCAGTAGAGCCCTGTGTATTCAGCAAATATGATTCGATATGCCCTTTTGTTACGTTATACATCTCCACAGACTTACAAACTGCTGCAAGAAGAGTTTAAATTGCCATTTGTTTCCCTCCTCCGGCGAATAACAGCTGGAAAGATCGATGCATTGAAAGCTGCGAACCTTCTTAAAGACAACGGCATTATTTCGGATGATGTGATTCTGATCGTGGAGGACATGTTTCTTTAGAATTGCGAGGAGTACATTGCTGGTGAATCGTATGGCGCAGATGAACAAGGTGAGCTGTATAAAGGTGTGGTATGTTTCATGATCGTTGGGTTAAATAGTAACATTCCATATGTTGTGAAAGCCCTTCCCGAGAAACAAATAACTGGGAAATGGTTAAAAGACGAGCTTTTAGCCTGTTTGAAACTACTTCAAGAAAACGGATTCCGTGTCAGAGGAATTGTATCGGATGATCATTCTTCGAACGTCAATTCATACAAGGAATTGCGCTCTGCGTGTGGCGCCGGTGTTGATGATCTGTATATCACACTGAATAGTCAGAAGACCTATCTGTTTTTCGACTCTGTTCACCTGGTGAAGAACATCAGAAATAATTTGCTGAATCGCAAAAGGTTTCTTTTTCCTACTTTCAATTTTACTGTGTTTTATGACCCTATTTCAGTAAGCGGAGGAGAGATTACGTGGCGGTTACTTCATGAGGTGTACGAGAAAGATCATAAACTTGAGGCAAATTTAAGGGCAGCGCCTGAACTTAGTGCGAAGGTTTTACACTCGGGAAATTGTAAACAGAATGTACCCCTAGCTTTAGCCATTTTTTCACGTTCAACTGCTACCGGCATAAGACATTATTTTCCTGACAAAGCCGACGACATTGCAAGTTTCCTGCACCTTGTTGATATTTGGTGGACAATTTCAAATTCAAAATCCCGATTTAACACCTCTAATCGCCTTGGGAATGCTGCAGTTCTCAATAACAAAACCCAAATTCTTGAGAGCCTTTGCAGATTGAATTGACGAGTGGGATAACCTTAAATTGCCGAATTGCGACAAATTCAATCTTACTGCTCAAACTAGTCATGCGCTTCAATGCACCCTTTGCTGCCATGCTGCTTTAATTGAAGAACTTTTAAGTGAGGGTTATTCATATGTGCTGACTTCGCGCTTACAGAGTGATCCTTTGGAAAAACGGTATGGTCAGTACCGCCAAATGAGTGGTGATCGTTTTTTGGTCGGCTTAAAGGATGTGGTATTCTCAGAAAAGATTCTAAAAATAAAAAGCCTTGTGAAGGGAGGACTGGACATTGATGATGGGGTCAAAGTCACCGATGAAATATCACCGGAAAAAGTAGCAGAATTTAGAGACTCCGTGCAGCTAATCATATCTGAGTCTATAAGGATATGTTTGACGGATGCTTCTAAGGAAATTTCTGATAACGTTGCTGGGTACATTGCAAAAAAGCTGATTAAGCTTTGCAATAGTTGCTGCGAGCAACTACTAACCAATAATGGTGTTTCGCCATATGTGCAGTTACTTTCTCGTGGCAGATTGAAGGAACCATCTGCTGCGTTGGGTAATTTTGTTGCTCATGGATTTGCTGTACTGAATGCAGCAGCAAATATTATTCAAGACTCTAGCTTGCCATCGCGATTTGTTGCGGAGGATATTTTGAAAACCGTTTTGTGTAACGAAGAGTTCGTCTGCGTATAGTCTTCCTCAACAATCAGAGGAAAAGGCAAACAGATACTGTTGTCAAAGACCGAGTTGTTGCACTAAAGCAAAGCAAGCGTTCCGAAGGCAATTTTATTTATATTAATCGAGACTGCGTTTTTTAAAAGGCATCTACTTTCAACTCGAGTTTTTGTTTCAATTTCAGCATGCAAATGTCTTGTTTGTCTCTGAGACTTTTGATCAATAGTATATACTCCAATCCGATTTCGCATATAAGTGGTAGAAGTCGAAATCATTTAGAAATGGTGAATGCCTTAATGGCTTTGCACTTTTGGCTATGCAAGATATCCGGCCGTGTAAATTTGAGTAGGCGCACTAATAGACCTTTTCAAGGTTATCGTAGCCATATTGCAGGGGTGCAAAACATTGGCCGAGCGCGTGGTCACGCAATGAGCCATATAAATTACTAATAAATGCGCAAAATTACCTTTTACATATTGGCCATTTCTTCCAAAATATTTCTCAAACTCGTCCATTTTAATAGTAGCATTATTATTTGCGATTTTTTATACATGTGAGTTCAATTTTGTGGTAATCAAAAACGGAAAGTTAAAGAAAACATTTGTTTTCTTTGAACAACTGACCATCGTTTGAGCGATGTTCTTGAGTTCGCAAATGTGCGGAACTCATAAGCCAAGTCAAACGAACTAAACCCTAAACTAGCCGAGTAGCCATGAGCAGTCATAGCCGATTAAACTGATGTCCAAGGAACTCTCAGTTCTCATTATATGGCCTAGTAGAAATCAAACTAAGAATAAGAGTTCGCCGTAGAATAGTTCCTCGTGATACTTGCTGACTTTGCTGTAGACATGTGCGTGTGTTGCGAACTCAAGAACATCGCTCAAACGACGGTCAAGTTGTTCAAAGAAAACAAATGTTTTCTTTAACTTTCCGCTTTTTGATTACCACAAAATTTGACTCACATGTATAAAAAATCGCAAATAATAATGCTACTATTAAAATGGACGAGTTTGAGAAATATTTTTGGAAGAAATGGCCAATATGTAAAAGGGTAATTTTTGCGCATTTATTAGTAATTTATATGGACTCCATGCGTGACCGCGCGCTCGGCCCAATGTTTTTGCACCCCCTGCAATATGGCTACGATAACCTTGAAAAGGTCTATTCACAATGACAATACACTTTAGACACCCACACATTTCCTGTACACACAATACAATGACGTAAGAACTAGATAACAAATACGGCTAACCTGACGTTTACTCCTCATTTGACTCTGAAGATGATTACCGCTAAGGTTGTCGAAACGTCAGTCAACAACAGCAAAAGCAATCCTTCTCAGGACTATACAAACCTGGACGATCTACGTTTACAAACATGTAAATCTTGGTGTAATGGTTAGAGCTCATAAATATTAAATTCAGTATCCCTTAGCAACAAAGTCTTTCTCGTAATGATTTCAAATTATTTAAAATGTGAGCCTAAATACCGTAATCTTAAAATCTGCTACAACCTGAATTTCCTGAATCAGCCCGCTTTGCTCCTTGCCCATTTACTCCTCTTACCCAATTTTGCAAGGTGTGACACATTTATTATTTTTTCCAGATGTTTTAGTGCTCGCATCACAGTTATCTAAACGTTTGTTCAGTTTTTTCATACCGCCACCAACTCCAGCAGCCAGTAGTGGTACATTGTTGTTCCTAGCAACAAAAGAACCACCGCCACCTCCGGATGTTTTGGAACGAGTATTGACGAGTGCCGTTTGCCCAACCAGAATTTCAATAATTTCTCCTTTCTTTATTTCAAAGTCTCCTTTCATGTAAGCTCCAAGACCTAAAAACGATAGATTATCCAATTATAACGTTAAACAAATCAAAATTATTGCTTTTGTATAAGAAATAATTCTATTAATTGGAACTCCATGCCTCGCATAAAAGCACAAGCTTCTGAAAATGAAAAAGAACGGGTACTTTGTTTCACAGGAAAAAAATATTGGAATGAAAAGATATATTCTTTGTTTGTATTTTCTTTAGAAAATAGGCTTTTCAAAATATATTGAAAAGAAATGTTCGTCATTAAATTCATCATTTAAATGACGTTTTATGTATTTTTTATCTATTCAATTTTTCTGCGCAAACCATGCAGTCTCCTAGATTTTCTAGAGAAGTTTCTGTGCATTATAAAGCTATAGAGTGTTTTCATTGGTCGCTATGTTGTGGGAAAATCGCATTTTAATGAAAAGAACTTATGTTATATTCATGTTATTTTGAGCATCGGCACTTTGATGTTCTCTCACTAACACAGTTAACTAAAATACATGGAACGCTGCCTGTAATACGAAACCCTAATAGTTATTTAAACACGTGATTTTACCCCAGACACGCGAAATTTCACCCCAGAATCACGTGGTGAAAATCATGGTGACAATTATAGGATAAACATTGAAGTGTTGCTTTTCTCGAAGAGAAAATTAACAAGAAATCGGCCTTTATTTCAAAAAAAAAAACACGAAAAAGATCTTTTTGGTCATATTGACAGGTAAGATCTATTGCTTTCTTCTTTATTTCTCTTGACTCAACACAAGCGATAGACTTGACAAGATTTCGTTAGATAGTTGAATTTAGGCAAGAGTCAATCAACGTCTTCTTTATGAGCATTAAAAGCATTGACAACCAAAAAGTTGTTGAAAAGACGGTAAACTATTCATTGCCCTAATAGTTATTTAAAGACGTGATTTTACCCCAGACACGCGAGATTTCACCCCAGAATAACGAGTTGAAAATCATGGTGACAATCACAGGATTAACATTGAAGTGCTGCTTTTCTCGAAGAGAAGATTAAAAATAAATCGAAAAAAAAACACGAAAAAGAAAAAAACACACAAAAAAAAACACGAAAAGATATTTTGGTCAAAAAAAAAACGAAAAAAACACGAAAAAAACACGAAAAAGATATTTTTCATCAAAAATAACACAAAAAAGATTTTGAATGTCATATGAATGTTTTATGCAGTGCGGTGTTTTGAAATTAAATGAGATATGATCTTCGCACTTAGCTGGACAATTTAAGCAATCGTCTCAGGACCTGGAAAAATCAGGTGACTCAGGTGAATGAATCACATGAAGTCACACAGTGGTGAGCAGGTCAATATTGTTGGGCTCATGTTTTGACCTGCTCATGAGCCCAACAATATTGACCTGCTCACCACTGTGTGACTTCATAGCTCAGTGGTGAGAGCACTGCACCGGCACCGCAGAGGTCATGGGTTCGAATCCCAAAAAAGATTTTTTTGGTCAAAAAAAAACACGAAAAAGATATTTTTGGTCATATTGACAGGAAAGGTCTATTGCCTTCTTCTTTATTTCTCTTGACTCAACACACGCCGATAGACTTGACAAGATTTCTTTAGATAGTTGAATTTAGGCAAGAGTCATTGAACGTCTTCTTTATGAGCACTAAAAGCATTGACAACCAAAAAGTTGTTGAAAAAGATGGTAAACTATTCATTGCACTTTTTTTTTAAGAACAGAGAAGTTGTTTTGGGGGTATTTATATATAAGATTAGTTATCTTTCATGTATTTTTCCTTTCACGGGCTGCCAAACTTTGATTTAATAAATATTTGTGGCTTCAAAAAACATGTTTTACGTAGATATTGTTTGTTTTCTAAGCATGTTTACGTATTTTTTTACTGTTTCTGTATAAAAAACGAAGTTGTAAACAATAGAAATTCAACAGATCAATAATCTATTTACATTAAATGAGAATTAAACAATACTCATCTTGTTTATTTCAATAGAGCCTAAGCAAAAACATTATTACGAACGTTATTATAAGTGCAAAGAAGGAAGCAACTGAATTTGTTGGTCAAATTGATCAAATGTCAACACAAACATGCAACAACAAACAAAAATGTCTTTTTCGATTTTATTGTTCATTTTCTCTTCGAGTTGCTTGTTCAATTAATCAATTTTCACTCCGTGAGAATCTCGAAACATTACACACGCTTGTCTGGGGTAAAATCATGGCTCGTGCTGTGATTTTGAAATTGAATGCTCCATCATGACCGCTTTGATGTCACGTGCAACAACTTTAGAAGCACTTTTTTCAAGCATTCGACTAATCAGCGGGCGTATTTTTAAAGAAATTTCATAGTTGTTTATACAAACAAGAATACAATAGAAAATTTATTGTGAGCAACATTTTAAATTTTGAGAACATTTTGAGCATATTTTAACATTTTAGCAAAATTTAACGAAACTGATCACACAATCTAGGCTTGTTAATTCTATGGAGCGTTTGCATGTGACGTCAAATCGCCCAAGTTTGGGAGTACATCAAAGTATCGATGCTTAACGGTACATGAAATTAGCAGAAATTTTTTCACTATATGCAATTTTCAAACCAAATTGGCGACTGATGAATACACTATATTAGATTTTCCGTATGATAAATTCAAATTTTTGTAATAAATTGTTACGTCAAGTTACAACTTGTGTCGTAAAGTATTCAACTATCATTGACGCCTGCGCAAAATGCCTGCCGAGCATGAACGATGCAACACACTATTCATAATTCCTAATTCTCTCGACCCAGTCTTTTCACGTCATCTATGTACTTTTTAACACTCGGATTTGTCGTCTGTCCCGCAAGATTTATTTAGGGCACGACGTCACAATTTAGAACATTTTTTGATTGTGGGGGAGTGGGTGATAAAATCATTAAGTAGAGCACGCATGTTTTTTCGGTTGATAAACATTAACAAACATTTTAAGATTAAGTTGTTTATATTTTGGATTTGACAAACGGACAGAAAGCAAATTCTCCTCGAATACCTGATACTAGCATTAATATGATTACATTAATAGCTGCTGATTTGAATCAAGGCGATCCACTCAGATAAAAAAGCAATGTGCTTTCATGCTGTTATCGGCGCTTTTTACGGCAAGAATACTTCATTTAATGCATCACATATGGTGGACAAAAGTACACTTTTATCGGCACAAATATTTCATTAACCGCATGGTGGACAAAAGTACATTTAGCTAATGTGCTATTACAAGTAGACAATAAATATGTAAAAACTTTCAATAGTGACCTTATATTATTAGAGTCAATGTTTCATGTAGTATAACTATTTCAGCATGTCAAATGATTTTTGTTTTAAATTATGTACGTACGTGTAATGGGATGGTCAAAAAATACTTGCCACGTGTAAAGCCTCTCCGTTCACAAATTAAGTATATAACAAAGAGTAATATAGTCCTACCATAATAACAAAACTACACGGCTGTTGGCCCAAAATTAGAGATTCAGTCAGTTGTATATTATCTTGTAAACATGACAGGCAAGAAGTTTTTCATGAATCGTTTCCTGTTTTCTTCTGAAATGATTGTTATTGAGGAAGTTGTTTATTTGAAAAAGTAAAAATTTCTCTTGGTTAGTTGAGTGTTTGTGATAAGATCTTGATTGAGTTGTTCGTCAGTTGCAGTGCAGAATGCCAAACAAATGTAGCGTTGCTGGGTGTTACACCAAATACAAAGGACATGCTAGTGGGACTGTATTCGAGTTTACCAAAGACGAGGAGCTGCAACCGATATGGCGCTTGTTCTTGAACAGAGTAGCTCATGACACCGCTGAACTAAAATCCGTGTTTATATGCGAACATCACTTCGAGGACAAGTATATCCAGAAAAATACCAAGTATCCTCGCCTCATCAAGTCAATGAAGCCAATTCCAACCATCCATCCAGAGAGCCTGAAAGATCGTCCTTCACTGCAACCTTCAATCCCAAAGCTTCGAAAACCTCCGACTCAACACGTTTTTCAGGAAGATGAGTTTGACAAGTTCAAGCACTTTGATATAATGAAAGATTTTGGTGACATTAACGACTCACTGCTCCACGAACTTGGTCACCAGTTTTCGTTTTCTCGCCATGACGACCATGCCATTTTTTTCAAAAAGGAAAAGAATGAACAATCTGATCCTGATGTTACAGTTTGCATCCGAGTGGATGTTGATCTGCGCGTATGCCTTTACCACTGAGGTGCCCCGCTTCCATTACTCGTGTGGTTTCGTAGAGGTCGGTGTAAATTGACGAGTAAAAGTATGCTCCACAATTTTCCTGCCTATGTTGAACAAAAGAGCTTATGCTTTAGCGGTGTTTTGGAAGAGTTAAGGAAGTTGAAATATCAGAAGAGCCCTGTGTATTCAGCAAATATTATTCGGTATGCCCTCTTGTTACGTTACACATCTCTACAGACTTACAAACTGCTGCAAGAAGAGTTTAAATTGCCATCTGTTTCCCTCCTCCGGCGAATAACAGCTGGGAAGATCGATGCATTGAAAGCTTCGAACCTTCTTAAAGACAACGGCAGTATTTCTGATGATGTGATTTTGATCGTGGATGAAATGTTTCTTCAGAAGTGCGAGGAGTACATTGCTGGTGAATCATATGGCGAAGATGAACAAGGTGAGCTGTATAAAAGTTTGGTATGTTTCATGATCGTTGGGTTAAATAGTAACATTCCATATGTTGTGAAAGCCCTTCCCGAGAAACGAATAACTGGGAAATGGTTAAAAGACGAGCTTTTAGCCTGTTTGAAACTACTTCAAGAAAACGGATTCCGTGTCAGAGGAATTGTATCGGATGATCATTCTTCGAACGTCAATTCATACAAGGAATTGTGCTCTGCGTGTGGCGCCGGTGTTGATGATCTGTATATCACACTATGTCAGAAGACCTATCTGTTTTTCGACTCTGTTCACCTGGTGAAGAGCATTAGAAATAATTTGCTGAATCGCAAAAGGTTTCTTTTTCCTACTTTCAATTTTACTGTGTTTTATGACCCTATTTTAGTAAGCGGAGGAGAGATTTCGTGGCGGTTACTTTATGAGGTGTACGAGAAAGATAAGAAACTTGAGGCAAATTTAAGGGCAGCGCCTTAACTTAGTTCGAAGGTTTTACACCCGGGAAATTGTAAACAGAATGTACCCCTAACTTTAGCCATATTTTCACGTTCAACTGCTACCGGCATAAGACATTATTTTCCTGACAAAGCCGACGACGCTGCAAGTTTCCTGCACCTTGTTGATGTTTGGTGGACAATTTGAAATTCAAAATCCCGATTTAACACCTCTAATCGTCTTGGGAATGCTGCAGTTCTCAATAACAAAAAACCCAAATTCTCGAGAGCCTTTGCAGATTGAATTGACGAGTGGGATAACCTTAAATTGCCGAATTGCGACAAATTCAATCTTACTGCTCAAACTAATCATGCGCTTCAATGCACCCTTTGCTGCCATGCTGCTTTAATTGAAGAACTTTTAAGTGAGGGTTATTCATATGTGCTGACTTCGCGCTTACAAAGTGATCCTTTGGAAAAACGGTATGGTCAGTACCGCCAAATGAGTGGTGATCGTTTTTTGGTCGGCTTAAAGGATGTGGTATTCTCAGAAAAGATTCTAAAAATAAAAAGCCTTGTGAAGGGAGGACTGGACATTGATGATGGGGTCAAAGTCACCGATGAAATATCACCGGAAAAAGTAGCAGAATTTAGAGACTCCGTGCAGCTAATCATATCTGAGTCTATAAGGATATGTTTGACGGATGCTTCTAAGGAAATTTCTGATAACGTTGCTGGGTACATTGCAAAAAAGCTGATTAAGCTTTGCAATAGTTGCTGCGAGCAACTACTAACCAATAATGGTGTTTCGCCATATGTGCAGTTACTTTCTCGTGGCAGATTGAAGGAACCATCTGCTGCGTTGGGTAATTTTGTTGCTCATGGATTTGCTGTACTGAATGCAGCAGCAAATATTATTCAAGACTCTAGCTTGCCATCGCGATTTGTTGCGGAGGATATTTTGAAAACCGTTTTGTGTAACGAAGAGTTCGTCTGCGTATAGTCTTCCTCAACAATCAGAGGAAAAGGCAAACAGATACTGTTGTCAAAGACCGAGTTGTTGCACTAAAGCAAAGCAAGCGTTCCGAAGGCAATTTTATTTATATTAATCGAGACTGCGTTTTTTAAAAGGCATCTACTTTCAACTCGAGTTTTTGTTTCAATTTCAGCATGCAAATGTCTTGTTTGTCTCTGAGACTTTTGATCAATAGTATATACTCCAATCCGATTTCGCATATAAGTGGTAGAAGTCGAAATCATTTAGAAATGGTGAATGCCTTAATGGCTTTGCACTTTTGGCTATGCAAGATATCCGGCCGTGTAAATTTGAGTAGGCGCACTAATAGACCTTTTCAAGGTTATCGTAGCCATATTGCAGGGGGTGCAAAAACATTGGGCCGAGCGCGTGGTCACGCAATGAGCCATATAAATTACTAATAAATGCGCAAAAATTACCTTTTACATATTGGCCATTTCTTCCAAAAATATTTCTCAAACTCGTCCATTTTAATAGTAGCATTATTATTTGCGATTTTTTATACATGTGAGTTCAATTTTGTGGTAATCAAAAACGGAAAGTTAAAGAAAACATTTGTTTTCTTTGAACAACTTGACCATCGTTTGAGCGATGTTCTTGAGTTCGCAAATGTGCGGAACTCATAAGCCAAGTCAAACGAACTAAACCCTAAACTAGCCGAGTAGCCATGAGCAGTCATAGCCGATTAAACTGATGTCCAAGGAACTCTCAGTTCTCATTATATGGCCTAGTAGAAATCAAACTAAGAATAAGAGTTCGCCGTAGAATAGTTCCTCGTGATACTTGCTGACTTTGCTGTAGACATGTGCGTGTGTTGCGAACTCAAGAACATCGCTCAAACGACGGTCAAGTTGTTCAAAGAAAACAAATGTTTTCTTTAACTTTCCGCTTTTTGATTACCACAAAATTTGACTCACATGTATAAAAAATCGCAAATAATAATGCTACTATTAAAATGGACGAGTTTGAGAAATATTTTGGAAGAAATGGCCAATATGTAAAGGGTAATTTTGCGCATTTATTAGTAATTTATATGGACTCCATGCGTGACCGCGCTCGGCCCAATGTTTTGCACCCCCTGCAATATGGCTACGATAACCTTGAAAAGGTCTATTCACAATGACAATACACTTTAGACACCCACACATTTCCTGTACACACAATACAATGACGTAAGAACTAGATAACAAATACGGCTAACCTGACGTTTACTCCTCATTTGACTCTGAAGATGATTACCGCTAAGGTTGTCGAAACGTCAGTCAACAACAGCAAAAGCAATCCTTCTCAGGACTATACAAACCTGGACGATCTACGTTTACAAACATGTAAATCTTGGTGTAATGGTTAGAGCTCATAAATATTAAATTCAGTATCCCTTAGCAACAAAGTCTTTCTCGTAATGATTTCAAATTATTTAAAATGTGAGCCTAAATACCGTAATCTTAAAATCTGCTACAACCTGAATTTCCTGAATCAGCCCGCTTTGCTCCTTGCCCATTTACTCCTCTTACCCAATTTTTGCAAGGTGTGACACATTTATTATTTTTTCCAGATGTTTTAGTGCTCGCATCACAGTTATCTAAACGTTTGTTCAGTTTTTTCATACCGCCACCAACTCCAGCAGCCAGTAGTGGTACATTGTTGTTCCTAGCAACAAAAGAACCACCGCCACCTCCGGATGTTTTGGAACGAGTATTGACGAGTGCCGTTTGCCCAACCAGAATTTCAATAATTTCTCCTTTCTTTATTTCAAAGTCTCCTTTCATGTAAGCTCCAAGACCTAAAAACGATAGATTATCCAATTATAACGTTAAACAAATCAAAATTATTGCTTTTGTATAAGAAATAATTCTATTAATTGGAACTCCATGCCTCGCATAAAAGCACAAGCTTCTGAAAATGAAAAAGAACGGGTACTTTGTTTCACAGGAAAAAAATATTGGAATGAAAAGATATATTCTTTGTTTGTATTTTCTTTAGAAAATAGGCTTTTCAAAAATATATTGAAAAGAAATGTTCGTCATTAAATTCATCATTTAAATGACGTTTTATGTATTTTTTATCTATTCAATTTTTCTGCGCAAACCATGCAGTCTCCTAGATTTTCTAGAGAAGTTTCTGTGCATTATAAAGCTATAGAGTGTTTTCATTGGTCGCTATGTTGTGGGAAAATCGCATTTTAATGAAAAGAACTTATGTTATATTCATGTTATTTTGAGCATCGGCACTTTGATGTTCTCTCACTAACACAGTTAACTAAAATACATGGAACGCTGCCTGTAATACGAAACCCTAATAGTTATTTAAACACGTGATTTTACCCCAGACACGCGAAATTTCACCCCAGAATCACGTGGTGAAAATCATGGTGACAATTATAGGATAAACATTGAAGTGTTGCTTTTCTCGAAGAGAAAATTAACAAGAAATCGGCCTTTATTTCAAAAAAAAAAACACGAAAAAGATCTTTTTGGTCATATTGACAGGTAAGATCTATTGCTTTCTTCTTTATTTCTCTTGACTCAACACAAGCGATAGACTTGACAAGATTTCGTTAGATAGTTGAATTTAGGCAAGAGTCAATCAACGTCTTCTTTATGAGCATTAAAAGCATTGACAACCAAAAAGTTGTTGAAAAGACGGTAAACTATTCATTGCCCTAATAGTTATTTAAAGACGTGATTTTACCCCAGACACGCGAGATTTCACCCCAGAATAACGAGTTGAAAATCATGGTGACAATCACAGGATTAACATTGAAGTGCTGCTTTTCTCGAAGAGAAGATTAAAAATAAATCGAAAAAAAAACACGAAAAAGAAAAAAACACACAAAAAAAAACACGAAAAAGATATTTTTGGTCAAAAAAAAAACGAAAAAAAAACACGAAAAAAACACGAAAAAGATATTTTTCATCAAAAATAACACAAAAAAGATTTTGAATGTCATATGAATGTTTTATGCAGTGCGGTGTTTTGAAATTAAATGAGATATGATCTTCGCACTTAGCTGGACAATTTAAGCAATCGTCTCAGGACCTGGAAAATCAGGTGACTTCGGATTCGAACATGACCATCTCACCACTGAGCTAGAAGTCACACAGTTCAATATTGTTGGGCTCATGTTTTGACCTGCTCATGAGCCCAACAATATTGACCTGCTCACCACTGTGTGACTTCATAGCTCAGTGGTGAGAGCACTGCACCGGCACCGCAGAGGTCATGGGTTCGAATCCCAAAAAAGATTTTTTTGGTCAAAAAAAAACACGAAAAAGATATTTTTGGTCATATTGACAGGAAAGGTCTATTGCCTTCTTCTTTATTTCTCTTGACTCAACACACGCCGATAGACTTGACAAGATTTCTTTAGATAGTTGAATTTAGGCAAGAGTCATTGAACGTCTTCTTTATGAGCACTAAAAGCATTGACAACCAAAAGTTGTTGAAAAGATGGTAAACTATTCATTGCACTTTTTTTTTAAGAACAGAGAAGTTGTTTTGGGGGTATTTATATATAAGATTAGTTATCTTTCATGTATTTTTCCTTTCACGGGCTGCCAAACTTTGATTTAATAAATATTTGTGGCTTCAAAAAACATGTTTTACGTAGATATTGTTTGTTTTCTAAGCATGTTTACGTATTTTTTTACTGTTTCTGTATAAAAAACGAAGTTGTAAACAATAGAAATTCAACAGATCAATAATCTATTTACATTAAATGAGAATTAAACAATACTCATCTTGTTTATTTCAATAGAGCCTAAGCAAAAACATTATTACGAACGTTATTATAAGTGCAAAGAAGGAAGCAACTGAATTTGTTGGTCAAATTGATCAAATGTCAACACAAACATGCAACAACAAACAAAAAAATGTCTTTTTCGATTTTATTGTTCATTTTCTCTTCGAGTTGCTTGTTCAATTAATCAATTTTCACTCCGTGAGAATCTCGAAACATTACACACGCTTGTCTGGGGTAAAATCATGGCTCGTGCTGTGATTTTGAAATTGAATGCTCCATCATGACCGCTTTGATGTCACGTGCAACAACTTTAGAAGCACTTTTTTCAAGCATTCGACTAATCAGCGGGCGTATTTTTAAAGAAATTTCATAGTTGTTTATACAAACAAGAATACAATAGAAAATTTATTGTGAGCAACATTTTAAATTTTTGAGAACATTTTGAGCATATTTTAACATTTTAGCAAAATTTAACGAAACTGATCACACAATCTAGGCTTGTTAATTCTATGGAGCGTTTGCATGTGACGTCAAATCGCCCAAGTTTGGGGAGTACATCAAAGTATCGATGCTTAACGGTACATGAAATTAGCAGAAATTTTTTTCACTATATGCAATTTTCAAACCAAATTGGCGACTGATGAATACACTATATTAGATTTTCCGTATGATAAATTCAAATTTTTTTGTAATAAATTGTTACGTCAAGTTACAACTTGTGTCGTAAAGTATTCAACTATCATTGACGCCTGCGCAAAATGCCTGCCGAGCATGAACGATGCAACACACTATTCATAATTCCTAATTCTCTCGACCCAGTCTTTTCACGTCATCTATGTACTTTTTAACACTCGGATTTGTCGTCTGTCCCGCAAGATTTATTTAGGGCACGACGTCACAATTTAGAACATTTTTTGATTGTGGGGGAGTGGGTGATAAAATCATTAAGTAGAGCACGCATGTTTTTTCGGTTGATAAACATTAACAAACATTTTAAGATTAAGTTGTTTATATTTTGGATTTGACAAACGGACAGAAAGCAAATTCTCCTCGAATACCTGATACTAGCATTAATATGATTACATTAATAGCTGCTGATTTGAATCAAGGCGATCCACTCAGATAAAAAAGCAATGTGCTTTCATGCTGTTATCGGCGCTTTTTACGGCAAGAATACTTCATTTAATGCATCACATATGGTGGACAAAAGTACACTTTTATCGGCACAAATATTTCATTAACCGCATGGTGGACAAAAGTACATTTAGCTAATGTGCTATTACAAGTAGACAATAAATATGTAAAAACTTTCAATAGTGACCTTATATTATTAGAGTCAATGTTTCATGTAGTATAACTATTTCAGCATGTCAAATGATTTTTGTTTTAAATTATGTACGTACGTGTAATGGGATGGTCAAAAAATACTTGCCACGTGTAAAGCCTCTCCGTTCACAAATTAAGTATATAACAAAGAGTAATATAGTCCTACCATAATAACAAAACTACACGGCTGTTGGCCCAAAATTAGAGATTCAGTCAGTTGTATATTATCTTGTAAACATGGTTTACTCTTTTCATATACGGAGTAAACTTTGCTTCATTTATTTGTGAACGACAATGTTACTCTTCACAAAGCCTTAGGACGACAATGAAGATATAGTACAATCTAATAAAAACGGTTTTCATTCATAATAGCAATGAATTTAATGTTAAAGTTTTCGAGGATGTTTCTATAATCGTCGCAAGTAAAACATGGGAAGTGGATATAGTTATGCTTGCTCTAGCTTGCCGTCGGCTTGCCGTGCGCTTGACTTCATTTCTTCTAAGCACTCATCCCATGGGTGAAAAGGGGAGCCCGAGCAGCACTTTCCTTTACGATAGCAACTTGTAGTGTAATAATATTGTCTTAAAAAATTGAGTTTCCAATTAAGTGATAGGAAACTACAATAGTAGCAAACTTTAAAAACTTTACCTTAATAAGCAGAGCCATAATTATCATAACCCCCTACTGCACCGACAGCAGTAATTTCATAAGTTCCTGTGTAAGGCACTGTCCAATACTGGATACCTTTTGATACGGTTACCATTTTTTCGTGATCCTGACCATTATAAAATTGACCAATTGATGTTGGACCGTGGCGACCAGTGGCTCCAAGATTTGTAAATCTTGCAATGAATTGACGGAACTTAACTATATTACAATACAACTATTGAATTGAATCATTTAAATTGCATATAAACCTTACGTGTTCTTTATAAGGCCATAATCCAAATTTTTTCTGTAATCAGACAAATAGTTTGCGCTGTAAACTCCGTCAAATTTGCAAAAATATACCATTTTAAGCGCTCAGTTTTACCGATATGGGACTGGGCCTGCGCGTCCAGCTGACGTCATGTAAGTAAAACGGGTTAGAACTGTCGAGAGTCAAATTTTTCAATATTCAGATACGAAACCTGTCAAATTCAACAGGATATAAATAATTGTAGCCACATTTTAATCAAAATCACAACAGCATGGTCAACAAAACGATAGATGGAAGTCAAAGTTCAGAAGGAATCACTGTAATTTCTTGTTCAAGTCAAATACAAAGTATTAAATATGCCATTCTGAAAGCGAGATTTGTATTGTCTGAATTTCTTACAAAGCTCACACAATGAAGTACGGATGCCGCTAAAGACAAAGGCTTTGGCAAATCAAGGCTGAGGAGACGTGGTATGATGGTTTCTTATTCTCAATTACTTTTTGTCTCGTTGAAAAAACTTGTATAAACGTGGGATGTTTGCAACTCGTCTTAGAAACATCCCGTCTTACCTCCGGATATAAAAAGTAAATATTATGCCACATGTGTTTTTTTCACTCGAGCCTAGTGTTGCTGATGAAAACTACTGTCGAAGTCTACGTCAAAAATTTTATCTTCTGATGAATCCAACGATAAAAATGCCGACCTAAATAAAGCCAATTTTTTAAAAAAGGACGCTATGGATAATTTACAGCAGACAGTTTGTCTTGAATTAAATAGAGCCGTGCGAACAGTGTTCCTTACATGACGTCACGACACGAACTTGATACCAGACCCCTTAGTGAAAAATATATATGGTAAATTTGGATTTTTAACAGCAGTTTCCCAATATAGACTACATGTAATTCAATTTATTTTTTTGAATTTCACTACTTGTTCTTTCAAACAATACTAAAATCCTGTAAGGTTTATATGCACTTTAATCAATGAATACAAATATATTTTATTTGAAGCGCAAGGTAGCTTGAGACAAGAAGTAATCAATCAAATGTTAAATATCGAAGCACAATCTATTTTCAAATTAATTACAAGCATAAATAAGTAGAAATATTTTTCTGCCTACGTACCGTCAGTTCTGTTTAAGCATAATGATGCATACGACCTTTCATATGATTTAACTTCTGTTTTGATGTCATCACAGCAATCAGGAGAAAGTGACGAATTTTTCTTACACAGTACCTGATAAGCATCCATATTTAAATCAGCCAATCTTTTGATTTTATCACAGCACAAAGAATGACTCCTGGTGATGAAAATATCATTTTTCAAACAGCTAATTAAACTTGAATAGATATCATTAATTATTTAAGTTTGAATAGAATTTTTTCTGACGCAAATGACTCTTGAATGACTGTCTTGGAGTTTATGTCATATGAGCAACAACAAATGCCTGGTGGATAAGTAATTATAACAATCTGAGTGTCATTGAACGCAATTGAAAGGAATTGCGACAGGAAAGACATCTTTCGTAGCTACAAAAAGTCAAACTTCCTGACTCAATAGGATCGCGAGATAACAATGTCCGTTATCATTGCCTTCAACATAAAAATTGCTGATGGACATGCTAATTTAAAAACTACGAGAAGAAGAAGAAGTAAAATGCAAAAAGAAATAAAACAGACAGAAAGTTGAAAAGAGAAGTGAAAAAACAAATCTTCGGAGTGAACACATAATAGGTAATTTGTTGGAGAAAAAAGAGAAGTGATATATATGATGGGGAAAAGTCAGATTAAGGTTTCTTGTTTTAAGGACACAAGATTTAGGGAAGCAAAAACAAGATACTTAGGATAAAGCTTAAAAAATTGTGGCACAATAATGCTAAAAAAAGAATAACAAGCATTGGTACAAAAATCATTTACTGGAGGTAGTTGGGAATTTTGAAGAATAACATATAGTTTGTTATGTCTAAGGATTGAGAAAAGTAGAATAGTGGTTGACATAAATAGAGCGTTTGTACGGCTGAATAAATGAGTGGCAAAAAGAAAAAAAGATTCTGACAGGTCCTAGATGATACATATAAAAAGATACTTAAGGTGGAAAGAATTGTGATGTAAGCTGATTTGAAATGGCATGTTGGAAAAATGAACAGAAGAAATGAGATCTTGGGGAGCTATGGGACTGTGAGGAGAAATGTTGAAAGACTGTTTATCGTAAAATTTTTGTAGAGAATGGACCTATAGCTGTGTGAAGCCGTTCTAAGTGTGTGCTGTGAAATAAGAAACTATCGGCTAAATTAAAGGAAGAGATTTATAAGAGTGTTATCAGAACGGCGATAATCTATGGTGTGGAAACTATAACAGTAGCAGTTGAAAAAAGGGTCGACTGGAAGTAGCCGAGTTGAGAATAGTCAAGTGAGCACTTGGAGTCACTACAAAGACAGAAACAGTAATTAGAACGTGCAAATCGAAGCAAAATTCATAAGGACTGGTTGAAAATTAAAAAAGGATGGGCAGCAATGTTTGCACATGTAATCAATGATGTAGTCAGCCTGCAAATTTGGTCCTGCTATGTTAATTTTTCTGTAATCACTCACTGCAAAAACAACAGATTTCTAAAGAAATGAATAATGTTAATAAACTAAAATTTACAGGACCAAAACTTGCGGGCTGGTTTCGCCACTCTATGTAATGATAAGAAAAGAGGATTTTAGTGGAGACAGTTACCAAAGATGATAGTGCCTTTCTAGAAAAAAAGAAAAATGTCGTGTAAAAATTGCATAGATTTTGCGAGGAATATAATATATATGAGAAAGGTGGGTGTCAAGTGTCAAGATGGGATTAAATGAACAGCTAAAAGAGTTAAAAACACAAGCAAAAACTTATTATATTCTATCAACATAAAATCTGACGAAAAACATGAATCAAACAAACACGAGCACACGAAACTTACATTTGTATAGATCCATAGATAACTACAAGTAGGAGCGAAAATCCAAAACTAAAATTTGTCATCTTTGTTATAGTTCGTGGTATCGAAAGATGAAAATGAGGCGAAAATCTACATAATTGCAAATATGTGGTTATTTGGTTTACTGATTTACACATATGCATATGAGAGAACGAATAAATAGTATGTGCAAATATACATATTTTGTAGCAATTGCACAAGGAGTTTTTTTGTTAATTATCTTAATGTTAACGCTTTTGTTTTGTTTTCCTGAGAGGTAAGTCGCCGTTTTTTTCATTTCATCTCATTTTGTGATTATTTCTCATTTCTCAAAATTTTATAGAACTTAAGTATGAAAATAGGTTTAAAACGGCATGCCAATATGTGTGCCTCAATTATGTTGCTGTTTGGTGAGATAACTATAAGTAATAATTAATTTCTTGCCAAATTTTTGTCTAATCTAGTAGTCCGTTTTCAGTAAGGACTTAAATAAATCGTTCAATCTTCAATTTTATACGTCAAAAAAAAATACAAAAGGTTGCTTTGAAGAGTTTATTTGTTACTAATATCAGTAGAAAATCTAAAAATTTAATTAAAAACTTTATTGTCTTGAAGGCAAAAAATTTATAATTTAAATGTACAGCTTGATATCAAAATGACAATAAAATTAAAATAATCTTCAAATAGAAAATGAAGTGCTTTTTGCTTTACATGGTTGATTCTAATCAAAGAAAAATCTATAAATTTGCTTTTTTTATATATCAAAAGTTTTCATAGTTATATTTGTGAATAAATTATACATATAAATATATGCAATATTCGACTTCTTTACGACATCCAAAAATACCTTTACATGCAAGCAAAATTTTGTGGGTAACCCTGGTTAATTGTCGTAAGAAACAATTCAAGTATGATACAACTATTTATTATAATTAGCTTTTAAAGTAAAACCAAATGGGACACATTAGAATTCATACAGAAAAATATTATGAATAATTGAATTTAAAAAAGAGTATAAATATCTGTAGATTTTGCAATTTTAGACTTATAGCTAGTTGTTATATAGAGCTGTGTAGAGCGAGGAATGGCAATAAATATTTTAAAAAGATCACAACACTTGTGATTTAGCTTTTAACTGTTAAATTGCAATCTCGTATCCAAATTAAAATGTTCATGTGTCCGCATGGCCAACAAGATTCACTTAATTAGCTACAACAAAATTTTTATGTGATCATTTGTTAAAGAATCGTAGAAAGAAATTAATTTTCTGTTATTATATGAGAAAATGACAACGTTTATAAAATTACCAGGATATAAATGAGTCAATAGAGATTAAAATCACTTAACTATATTAAAGTACAATTTTAAAATTCTTCTTATAAAACCTGATTTTCTCCTGATTGTTTCAATAGTCAATGCGTAATAAAAAATGTAAAAGGAGAAAAACAAAAAAGAGTAACTTTGTTTCTTTGTTTTACGAATAGGTACCGATGACATTTACGTTCTGCTCTCAATTTATACTTGGATACGTAATGCCCCATTATATACATATCAATGGTTTTCTTGACTATATTATAAAAAGATGTAGTAGTCATTCGAAGGTAATCATTTAGCCTAATTGTTTTCTTAGTTTGAGAAAATGGACAGATGAGAGCAGTTGCATGGGTAGCAAAAGCTTATAAATTTTTCTTCTTTATGTTTTTTCTTGGGTTTTGCTGTTTGCTTTACGAAGTTTGTTTATACTTGAGTGTAAAGTTATGCATTTCGGATCGTGGTCGATTACTGGAGAATAATGCACCGGATTCAATCAAAGCGCGCCATTTTGAAGAAGTGGCGCTTGTCACATAATAAAAAGAAATAATCTGCATCTCTTCTTTCATATCATGAATCTTAAGTTTTTCTCTTTTTTATAGTTGATGTAATTGGCTGAAAACTACTGTCGTAAACGTTTTGTGTAAATATTTTGTATAACGATAGTTTGATGGGGGATCAGTACGATCCACTTCCGTATTTTGTCTTTTTACGCTTTACATGTCATCTCTCATGCTTTTAAAAGTAATGTGTATCTGTAATATATTGCATATAAGCACCTGCGTTGCGTAAGAGTTCATACTGCAACAAAGAACAGGCTTACCAAACTTTAAAGAGAGTAACTTCTTAAAGAAAAGCGCCAATTTAAAATAGCAAAATATTTACATACGAGCACATTTCAATAAAAATGTAATATAAATTTGATAAATACAATTGATAAATGCACGTACTTGTTTTAATTTATCCGCAGTTTTCTTAAGGAACTTTTTCCAGGGAGCTCTGCTCTTATTCGATTTCTGCAAGAAGTGCAAGCGTCTCAAACAAGAAATGAATTTATAAATTTAAAATGCAGGAAATTGAAAGTGCTTCAATCTTTGCGTTCTTAAGCACATTGCTTAAACGGAAGCCTTCGTATATTTGTATAGGGTTTATTTATTCAATTGCACGAGTTCATTTTCTATTTCTTGAAGTACGAAAATTTTGCATGATTTGGTTCACGCAGTGACTTAGCTACTTTATCTTATCTTGTGCTAAAATATCAAATCTTTTGCATGACTTCTAAGATATTGTTAAAAATTCTATGAATTAATTATGTTAAAAGAAATTATTGTTTTGAGAATCGCAACAATTATTAACGTTTTAAAATTTTAAGTTGGTAATTGTCGACATATTGATATATTATAGTATATTCAAGAATAAACATTGTTATTGTTGTAACATGTAAATATCACGTGATCGAAAACGTATATGGAACGATTATATCATCATAGTTATTGTATCTTCCACCGCCAAGTTATATATATTGTCACTTATCTAAACGAACTTTCTTTCTTCAATAAACGCAACTATTTCATTAGAAGTTAACAGTTATAAGAAATCATAAAGCAAACATAGACATCACTTTTTTATCTTTTACGAGTACTTGTTTTTCTCATTGTATAAATGTCGGCACGAATTGCTTTTGGTTGATTAAATTTGTTTGACGTGTATGGCGCGCCGAGATGGCAATATTACCAAAATCGAAAGTATTTACAACGAAACACATTGTCGTATGTTGAAAATAATATACTGGCAACTTTTTCAATATTTGTAAAATGAAACGCAAAAATATAAAAGAAAAGAAGAATTCGTTTACCATAATTTATATATACACAACAAAATTTATTTTTCAAGTTATGAAAATTATTTTTACAAAACGAAACTCATTTATATAAAACGAAATTGACATTCATAAAACGACATTTTCTTCGAACAAACGACATTTTTTACCGCTTTTTTGCAGCCATTATTTCGTAGCCTGCAAAGTGCCATCCACTACAAAATTTTGAGCATGTCTTCGCGAAGGAACTTACATAACTTGACAAACCTTGTTGCAGCAATCACTCAGCTCTCTGAAAGCTGATTTCAGAGAGCTGCCCAGAAAAACGGTAAAGGAGTCGCAAAAAAGAAGTAAAAAATGTCGTTTGTTCAAAGAAAATGTCGTCTTATGAATGTCAATTTCGTTTTATATAAACGAGTTTTGTTTTATAAAAATAATTTTCATAACTTGAAAAATAAATTTCGTTGTGTACATATAAATTATGGTAAACGAATTTTTGTTTTCTTTTATATTTTTGCGTTTCGTTTTACAAATATTGAAAAAGTTGCCAGTATATTATTTTCGACGTACGATAATGTGTTTCGTTGTAAATATTTTCGATTTTGGTAATATTGTCCATCTTGGCGCGCCATAGACGTGGCAGTTAAATTCAAACAAAGATCAACATTTTGAATCTTTAGGTGTGTCCAACAAACGCTGACATATTTACTAATACATCGATAAAGAATAGATGTTATTTCGACATTCATACACATTAACACATTTCCAAAAGAAACTCATTGTAAAATGTATAAATTTTTGTGACATGCATGCAAACCAAGCTTTATACATTCGATAGCTTTAATGAAGAGATTCGTCGGTATTAGAATTTATTTAGTTTGAAATTTGACAATTTTTTTCTCTTACTATCTTTTATTTGATTATCTGCTATAAAGCTTTCGTTTACAGTCGTGCAATAGTTTACAGACAACTGCTTAGCTTGCAAAACATTATATTTATTGTTGTGGAGTCATTGCCATATTGTCATAGCCATCTTGTCATAGCCATGTCATTGCATGTTGTCATAGCCATTTTGTGGTGTCAAAGACATACATTGTTGTGGTGTCATAGGCATACATTACTGTCAAAGCCATATATTTTGCATTCCGTGAGTTTCATTGGGATCAAAGTTAGCTTCTTTCCTTCAGTATCGCCTTTCAGTGAGTTTTAATTCTATTGAAATTTTACAATAAGTGCGTGCGTGTCACACAAGAGATGCATTCGAAATTTAGAATTACTTGGAAATATAGTCTCTTCTGTTTATTTTCTTGGGCATAATGCTTAGAGGGAAACCTTCGTATTTATATAAAAGTTTTTTGAATTAAGTAGGGTTCATACACAATGTTTATTTTAGCCACTTAGTCTTTACCAATGCAAAATATGTGATTTTTTAAGAATAATAAACAAATCAATGTCCAACTGTATGTATCCATGCAATTTAATTTTCATATACGTGTGAAAATTATACACGAAAATTTAACAATAATGGGAAAACTGAGAAATATAATCTTGTTCAAGCAGCTGCACGTTTCATATATGATGAGTTAATTAACTAAAAAAAGAATATTTTTGTTCTTAAGTATCTCATTGTAGTTAGTAAAATTTGTCAACTTATGATCAAGATAAAATATCAAAATCACTCACAAACATTAATCTCCCTATCGTATGACTTTTTCTCCCTTTTTGTGTCGAGGTTAGTAGCTACAGATTGCTTTTGGTTGAATGAAATTTTATTGACGTGGCATTTAAATTTTCAACGTTAAAAATAAATATGCATTAACATTTTACATCTTTAGGTGTGCCTAACAAACCTTGAGATATTTACTATTACATCGATGAAGAATCGATAATATTACTTAACATCTTTGCACATTTCAGAACGAGAGGCAACTTATGGCGTGTACAAGTATATTACACAGATTTAACGGACCTCCAACGACTATCTTGAGGAAAATTATTAAATTATTATCATTTGATCGACGTAACTAGCTGCCTTGAATTAGGGCCTGTTCATATGCGCCCGGTTAGCGAGACATCTCATCTATCTATGATCTTGTTCTTTGCTGAGATCATAGGTAGGCGGGATGAAAATCGATCCTGTGAATTGCCAAGCTCAAATTTGTCAGCGTTCACACTTAACTGACGCTACACGTAAGCTGAGCTAGTTTCCTTCACAACAAAGTGTAATATTTGTATTATTGCAATCCCAATGTGGCGTCTGTGCTCCGATCTCTCGATTTAGCTGCAAGTGCGATCGCAACCATTTTCAATATTACATATGAATACCACAAAAAGATGCGAATGCGTCGTGAAAGGAAAAAGAAATATATTTTGAAACTGTGAAAACAGCGAAGTAAAAGAAGGGACGACCAGTTTTATTTTTGGTTTAGTAACGCTCTAGGAAATAAATTAATGCGTGAAAGACGTTTCTGGGTGGATGCAAGCAAAGGCACCGGTTTGTTCTGGGAAAAAACTATCGATATGTGGAAAGATGATGGGTTGTGGCTAGAAAATTTTCGTATGTCTAAGGGAACATTCGATTTCATTTTCGACAAGATCAATGACACTTTATTGCGAGAACATACAACTTTCAGAAAGGCTATCCCTGTGCCAAAAAGAGTAGGAATTTGTCTTTGGCATTTGGCTACCAATGAAGATTTGCGTTCTTTAGCTTGGCGTTTTGGTATAGGGAAAAGTACAGCCTGTGAAATCGATAACGAGGTTTGCCAAGCTATTGTTGACGTGTTACTGTGTCTTGTTATCAAATGGCCAACGGGCGATAGACTGCAGATTATCGCTGATGCCTTTCTACCGACATGGGGCTTCCCTCAATGCGCTGGAGCCATTGATGGAACTCATATTCATATTGTAGCACCTTCAAATTCTGCACAAGTTTACTACAATCGAAAAGGATTCTAGTCTATTGTTCTCCAAGCTGTTGTAGATCATCAATACAGGTACCAAAACGTACTGCTTTTGTCAAGGTTGACTTAGTAAGTTTTTGCCACCCTGTTATTAAACTGACATTTTCACCTTCTAACAATTTTAGATCCCATGGTGGAGTTTAACAGTGACTGATGTAAAATAGGTTTTTTATTAATTTAGACATGTGTTTCAACTAGTTGAGTGAGTAAGTTACACAAAGTGAATTAAATTACACACACTTAAAAGGTAAAAAATATATATTTAAAAAATTTTGAAGATTCACTGACATTTGCATAAAGTGGCCAGGTCAAGTCCATGATGCAAGAGTTTTGTCAAACTCGTGAATGTTTGCAAAAGCTGAAGCAGGAAAACTTTTTCCAAATGTAAGTTTTCATTTCTTATAATAAAAAGCTTATCTTACGTCAGAGGCAAATTTTACTGCAGTTTTGATAATAGCCACTAGAAAATTAATGGTCTTGATATACTCTAGGGAGGAAAAGAGATATGTGACTGCAATGTACCATTCATGCTTATTGGTGATCCAGCATATCCACTGTTACCATGGTTCATGAAGAGGCCTCCTAACAATGGCAATCTCAGTCCTGCTTAAAAGAAATTTAATTACTACATAAGTCGAGCAAGGCAAGTCGTGGAGTGTACATTTGGCCGTTTAAAAAAAAGATTCAGATGCCTACTTAACAAGAATTATACAAATTTAGATCATTTGCCTATGAAAATTGCAGCATGTTGTGTTGTACACAATATTTGTGAAAGTATAACTGACAAAAATTTTGCAGATTATGTTGAACTTATTCCTGATGATGAAATTTCAAAATTTGTTTTACAGAATACAGGCGCAAGTGCAGAGAAATTAGAAATTCTTTAACTGAGTTTTGATAACACAATAAGCTGATGATATCTAAATTACTCATGTTCTTGAATTAAATCAAAGTTTGTAATATGTTTGTTGACTTACAGCATCATGGTGAACATTGTAGAATGGTTGTTGCACAGGCTGAGACCTCATTGCTATTGCATTTGCAAGAAGTGACATTGACTCCTTATAAACATTAAGCTCTTCCTTTCGCAACTATCGCTCTTTTTGCTTCTTTTTCATTTCGACAAAAACATTTCATCGGACTCCTTGAAATATTTTTGTGCTCTTTCATTGCATTCTTGAATGCCACTTGCATGATGGAGGGCTTTGCCTTTCCCCTTGGTTTTCTTTTCCTTGGCACTGATTTGTTTTCATATT